AGATGCAAGTCCTGCTGTGTTCAGTTGGGCATGCTCCCAAGTAAGTGTGCATAACATTGCAGATTTAATCTCATTCCTTCTGTGTGTATCTATTCACTCAGTGGACCCTTTGGTGATTTAACCATGTCAGTACAAGCCATTGCAATGTAGCTGGGGAGAGCTGGGCCTTGTAGAATCACCAGTTGTGTTTCCTCTCTTCTCTCTGCACCCCACCCTTTTCTGCTCTGCAGTTAGACATCAGAAACAATAATTACTACAAGAGGAAGCAACATGGGGTTGACATTTGCTCTCCAGCAGGATTATTTTGGCATTTGTTCTGTGCCTACAAGAAATGATAAGCTTACCTGCAGAGAAAACCGAAAAAGTAGTCATAAACAAAGAAAGGGACTAGATTTGACATAACAGGAGAAGAGTTGAGCTTGAAATTGGGCTGTTCTTAAAGAGAGAGAAAAGCTGCACAGTTTATGCCACATCTGTCACTGAGTTTGACTATGAATTTTAGAGGTCCTTCATTTAAAACAACATATTTCCTTCTATTGGATTGACTTCCGGAAGGTATCTTCCAAATGTGGCTTGCTCTTATTGAATGATATAGTTCTAAGTCGTGTCCCTCTGAAAGGTAAGTTACATCCACAGCATTTCCCTGATCCACCAAGCTTGAAACTCTATCAAAAAAAAAATAAGATTAGTATGGCATGACTTGTTTTTGAGAAACCCATGTTGTTGTTAATAATCACAGCATCCTTTTCTAAGCGTTCGCAGACCAACTGTTTAATTATATGTTCTAGGATTTTTCCTGGTATTGATGGTAAGTTGACCAGCCAGAAGTTGCCTGGGCCCTATATTTTCCCATTTGTGAAGAAGATGGGAACAACATTTGCCTGCCTCCAGTCTGTAGGGCCCTCACCTGTTCTCCAAGAACTGTCAAATGTGATTTTCTTTTTCTTCCCTGGAACGAGAGTGTAAGCCAGCCTTGGCCAACCTGATACCTCCAGATGCTGCTGGCTTCCAACTCTCATAACCTCAAAGCACCTGTGATCCCTGGTCTGGAGGACAGAAGGTTGGGGAAGTCTGCTGTAAGCAGTATTGGGAACAGGTGGACTGGGTGACATTTGGTTCAACAGCAGAGTGACTAACTAAGTTTGTTCTAGGTATAAGCTTTTGTGTGCATGCGCACTTCTTCAGATACCTGGGTGCATGCACATGAAAGCTTATACCAAGAACAAACTTAGTTGGTCTCTAAGGTGCTACTGGACTATTTTTTAATTTTTTATTTCGACTGTGTCAGACCAACACGGCTACCTACCTGAATCTAGCAGAGTGACTGTAAAGAAAGCAGCTGGATAATTGGCATTCATCAGTTGTGTGTTGCCCAGTTATTAGGATTCACAGACCTGCACAATTGCACAAAAACATACACACAAGTGAGACAGTCTCTCTGTCCCCTTCCCCCCCAGCAGATAAATGATTTGGAAGCTTTGAGAATCCACTGCAGCCTCTTGTTGTGAAGTGGTGCATCTGAACAGCAGCAGCCTATCCCTTGTTCATCAAGCTGCTGTTGCATTCATTTCTTGGCAGGTGGTCTCTGAGCTACATGTGTTCAGTGCAATCCGGCCTTGGCACTTTGGAGATTTCAACAAGGTAAAGACTGCTGTTTTTAATTACTAGCATATTGGGAGGTGTGACAAGAGAATTCATCCAGCTCTCACTCCCCCCCCCTTCTGATATGCATCTCCAGCACTGGCACATAATGCAATTAATCTATTTTGGGGTGTTCTGTTCTTTACCAGTTCAGTTCAGAATAGGCTGGGGGCTTCGCTCAAAGTATATTTGTGCTGGAATTCTCTTCGCTGTCTTGCTTGGGTTTGGTTAAAATATAATATGAGCATGCAATCCTATGCGTATTTACTTATAAATAAGCCTCTTTGTGCCAATGAAGTTCTAGGGAAAGATGTTTAGGATTGTAACCAGTGCTTTTTCCCCTAAAAAAATGTTTAGGGGAACTCTCATTTTCCTACTCATATTGAAATATTGCCCAAACTTAGATTCACAAAATGTTTAGGGGTATGTGTACCCCTGCGTCCCCCCAGAAAAAAGCACTGATTGTAACCATGGTGTATCTTTCATCCTGGGGATCCAAAAGCATTTGCTGAGGGCCTTCTCAGCAGTGGCACCCTCTCTGTGGAATGCCCTCCCAACCAATGTCAAGGAGATAAAGAACTACATTTTAGAAGACATCTGAAGGCAGCCCTGTATTGGGAAGTTTTTAATGTTTGATGTTTTATTGTGTTTTGGAAGCCAACCACAGTGGCTGGGGCAACCGAGACAGATGGGTGGGGTAGAAATAATAATATTATTATTGTTGTGGTGGTTACTATTATTAATTATTATTATTTAATGCCTACAAATCACTGAAAACAAAGGAAGAAGAGGGGAGCAATATGGAGCAAATTTGACAGTGTCAGATGAGGTCTGGGAAGAACCGGTTTCAAATCTCCACATGCTCATGAAGCTCACTGGATGACTGAGCAAAGACCACATGGACTCTTAACTTTTAAAATGATATCTTGGGATTGTTTGTCTTTTATGGGGATGTCTACTGAACCTTCTACTTTTTTTCTTGAATTTTGCGCATGATGTGGCAAACCTGAGTTTGCTGCTACATAATGGTTGTTTTGGGATGTTACATTAAACTATGGTTTAGCCTTACATAAATGCCCACCCTGTGGAATGTCCCTCCCATCAGATGTCAAGTAGATAAATAACTACAGTATACAACTTTTAGAAGACATCTGAAGGCAGCCCTATATAGGGAAGTTTTCAATGTTTGAGTTTTATTGTGTTTTGGAAGCCACCCACAGTGGCTGGGGCCACCCAGACAGATGGGCAGGGCACAAATAATACAATTATTGCTGTTATTATTACATAAATGAGCCTTGAGAGGGTGGAGCTGATGATCCCCTTTTCTCCTGCAGTGCATCCACAAGAAAGAAAATAGACACTTTCACTTCAAGTTATGGTTTATGATGTTTCGCTAAAGTATATACAGTGGTACCTCGGTTTAAGAACAGTCCGGTTTAAGAACAATTTGGTTTACAAACTCCACAAAACCGGAAATAGTGTCTTGGTTTGCGAACTTTACCTCAGTCTAAGAACAGAATCCGAATGGTGGAAGGGCACCAGCGGCAGGAGGCCTCATTAGGGAAAGCGCGCCTTGGTTTAAGAATGGTTTTGGTTTATGAATGGACTTCCAGAACAGATTAAGTTTGTAAACCGAGGTACCACTGTACATTGAACACACCATTCATGAGATTAACAATTTTGTGTTCAGATGTAATGCTAAACTGTGATTAATTAAACATGAAAGTGAAAGTGCTTGATCTCATGGCTGCACCCAGTGCCTTTCTTATAGAAAAAATGGTGCCAGAATGCCCCCACCTCCTAATTTGGTTGTAAGTTGCTTGGGGCTGCCCTGGGCAAGAGATGTTGCTTGGGGTTGCCCTGGGCAAGAGAATGCTGGTGTGTCATGAAGTTCCTAAGTGATGGAGAACGTTCCTCACACATCCTAGGTCAATCAATATGGCCCAGAGCAACTTCATTCAAAATATTGCTAGCCTAGTCCTCTAGATTCTAAATCCACAAAATTGCTTTCCCTTGTTGTGGCAGGAAAGTGAGATTGTGAATGAACTCCTAATGGTATATTTGTTACTTACCACGTTCCTGAAACCGCTAGGATTTTCTTTTAATGCCCCAAATTGCCAAATTGACCCTAACCCTTTGAAGTTACTATAATAAAGGTAAAGGTACCCCTGCCCTACGGGCCAGTCTTGGCAGACTCTAGGGTTGTGCGCCCATCTCACTCAAGAGGCCGGGGGCCAGCGCTGTCCAGAGACACTTCTGGGTCACGTGGCCAGCGTGACAAAGCCGCATCTGGCGAGCCAGCGCAGCACACGGAAACGCTGTTTACCTTCCCGCCAGTAAGCAGTCCCTATTTATCTACTTGCACCCAGGGGTGCTTTCGAACGGCTAGGTTGGCAGGCGCTGGGACCGAGCAACGGGCGCGCACCCCACCGTGGGGATTCGAACCGCCGACCTTTTGATCGGCAAGCCCTAGGCGCTGAGGCTTTTACCCACAGCGCCACCCGCGTCCCTTGAAGTTACCGTATTTTTCGCTCTATTGGACGCAGTTTTTCTCCTCCAAAAATTGAGGGGAAATGTGTGTGCGTCCTATGGAGCGAATGCAGGCTTGTGCCATAGCCGCGCGCAACCCCTCCGGCAAGGAGAGGCTGCACGGGGCTAAAGGGGAAGCCAAAACAGCGAGCGGGATCCATCCCGCTCGCTGCCTTGCCTTCTTCCATAGCTGCGCACAACCCCTCTGCAAGGAGAGGCTGCACGGGGCTATGGATTCTTTAGCCCCACGCAGCCTCTCCCAGGAGGTAGAGGCTGCACGGGGCTAAAGGGGAAGCCAAAACAGCGAGCGGGATCCATCCCGCTCGCTGCCTTGGCTTGTTCCATAGCTGCGCGCAACCCCTCTGGCAGGGAGAGGTTGTGTGCAGCCTGTACGCTGCTCTTTGGGGCTGGGGGGGGGAAATATTTTTTTTCTTGATTTCCCCCCCTAAAAACTGGGTGCGCCCTATGGTCCGGTGCGCCCTATGGTGCGAAAAATACGGAACTATACCTAACTCAAAAGGTATATGACGGGGTAGAGTGGATGCTTATCAAATCTACAAATAACACAAAGTTGGATGTATAGCTAATACTATAGAAGGCAGACTTGCAACTGAAAAAGATCTCAACAGGCTGGACACTGGGCCAAAATCAACAGGTTAAATTCATTTTAGATCAATGCAAAGTCCTGCATTTAGATGCATTAAAAAAAAAAAAAGAATCAAAGCCTCATGTATGGAATGGGGAAGTCATAGCTGAATGTTATCTAAATGTCTTTCTGGGTCACAGACTGAACAGTAGTGGATTGTAACTGCTAAAAAAAAGGTTAATGCTTCACTTCTTGGCCTTTTGGCTAAGATCAAGTGTAGTGTAAAAAAAGTTAATACAAATAATATTTTTACCATGCTAATGCAAATATTAAAAATACACGGAACCTTATGATGAGGTTCCATAGTGGTGGCATATGCATTCCCCATTTTTAATACATTTATAGCCCATCTTTCCTTCAAGAAGCTCAAGGCGCCGCACATGGCTCTCTTTCCCTCCCATTTGTCCTCCCCACAACCTTGCAAAGTAGGTTAGGCTAAGATAGGCATCCCCAACCTTCGGCCCTCCAGATGTTTTCGACTACAATTCCCATCATCCTTGACCACTGGTCCTGTTAGCTAGGGATCATGGGAGTTGTAGGCCAAAACATCTGGAGGCTCACAGGTTGGGGATGCCTGGGCTAAGAGATGGTGATTGGCCAAAGGCTCAGTGGCTGTGTGTGTGGAGATTTAGATGGGAGGGTGGCAGCCTTACACTGGTTATTGGACTCAAATCTTTTTATAGTGTTGGTTTTTTGTGTTTTTTTTGCATGTACAAACGTATACCTTTTTATTATTATCACAAAACTCCTTTTAAAAAGTTCTCTAAACAATTTTATGGTAATTAGATTCAGTTCTACTATTTTCTGAAAGCAGAGCCATCAACTAGAAGTAAATTTTCTGGTGTACTGAGCACATTTGATGTTGAGTTTTTGAGACACCAGAAACATGTAAGCCCTTTGAGATATATTTAGAGTTGTATTTTATATGAAAGATGCTTCACACAAAAAAGGGAGGGAGAAAAGGTTACATTGTCAAGACGGAGATGTGCATGGAAGACCAGGGAGTTAAATAGCAAGGATTACCTAAGGTCAGTGTTAAATCAAATGTAAAAACAAAACCCTTGTTCCAATGGCTTTGCTAAAGCAAACATGGATACTCATGGTAAGAACTAGGGATGTTATGCTAGCATAAGTTTGCATTGCCATTGCAGCATGAAGTTAATTCTCGCTTACTCTTTCCCTCCAGGATTATCCCCCCAACTGGGTAAAAATTTGCGTTCCTTGGACTATGTTTTTAAAATAGTTTTCTGGATGGAGAAATATAAATTGATACAATTTAGGTGAATTTGGTTGGTTCCTTTTCTAGCTATGAGGTAAATGTCTGTGTGGAATTGCATGCCTCTTTCCGTTAGAGTCATGTAGCTATGTTTTGCATAGCTGTCAACTTTTCCCTTTTCTTGCGAGGAATCCTATTCGGAATAAGGGAATTTCCCTTTAAAAAAGGGAAACGTCTGATGTTTTTGGGATGAATGTTTCCATTCATCCCCACTTTGTTTTTCAGCACTCTTTGAATAAAGTTCTGTGATACATTGACATTGCCCTTGCTCTTAATTGCCCTGACTTGTCCTCCATTGTATTACCACATAGCCATATCTGACTGGCTACATGGTATTGTGATGGCATCACCTTATTTTGCTGCCTGTCTCTGTTTGGGATAGATCACCCATGTGATTTATCCAAGAAGAATGATGAAGAAGCCAGGGGAGGGTGGGGAGGGTGGTGTGATGCTGCTGCACCAATAGCCAGGAGGAAAAAGCTACAGTGGAGAGATTTGAAAAAAGAGAGTAAATATTTGCACAATGTAAGTATTTTTTCTCTCTTGTACCTGGGTAAGGCCAACCATATATATATGAAAGACCACCACCCTTGGAGTTGTATGGACAGGTCAAAGGTAAGGCAGCTATTTCTTCTTTTTTATATATATAAATTTTTATTAGGTTTTACAATTTAATATTCAACACATTAAACACATAGTAGAAGAAGAAGAGCAAATTCCCTCCACCCCATGACTTCCCTCAGCTTCCCCTTCTGGTTCTTTAAATATATACTACTTCTGCTTAATTTTATCTTACTTTCTGTGTTGTTTTTTTACTAAATGCTCTTATATTCTTCTCATTTTTGTACCAAATTTTCTTTCAAATAACATCTTACACCTAATTAATGTCCATATTGTTGTTTCTTAACTGTGCACTTATTTTCTTAATTGTAAGCGTTCACTCAAACCCTACTTAGTGAGTCCAATTCTTTTCACTGTTTCTGTAGATACAATATAAATGGTTCCCAGTCTTTTTTAAAATCTCTATTTTCATTGTCTCTAAGTCTTCCTGTAAGTCTTGCCATTTCTACGTATTCCATAAGTTTGAGTTGCCATTCTTCCTTCATTGGTTTCTTGTCGTCCTTCCATAGCGAATATATGCGACCAGATTCAAAACAAAAAAGGGAACACGAGAAGCTGCCTCATACCAGGTTTGTTCCTCTCACCTCATGTTAATCTGGACCCTGCTAGACCTGCAGAACCATCAACTATATGACGTATGAGCAAGCAGCAGAAGAACCATGATAGACAAAATGGATGAAAACTTCAACTCCACACCAACTTTATGCAAGCAGCTTGGAACTTTTGTTGACTTTTCAGTAGCAACCATGTTAGATCTTGGATGATGATAAGATTGAAAGCAACATGTTTTCAGCAGAAATCAGGTGATTTTGCCTTCTCCAAAGATGCCTCCTGTATCCTCCACCCTGCAATTTATTGACAAGAACTGGTTTTTATGCACATATGTTAACTCACGGTGTTGCAAAGAATATGAAAAGTGTGTGGGAAGAAACAGAGGGCAATGTAAACAGCCTTGAGCTCTTGGGAGGAAAAGCAAGATACAAGTATAATGTAGTGTTCACAGATCATAGAGAGAGAGAGAAATAAATATGCACAAAGTCAGGAAAGCAGGCTCCATACTTGAACTGGAACACTATGATGTCCCGATATTTTATAGCAAAAAAGCACTCTCCCCAAAAACAAAATCATTTGCCAACTCTGATAAACAAACATACTCTGAGCATATGCCTTACTCTCTCTGCAAAGATTTCACATTCTGCATTTAGGGAGGAGGGATTCTTTAACACCCACCCACACTTACTGTACTGTACACAGAATAAGTATCGGCACAGAAAAAGATACATCCTGTTTAAGTTAGTATTAAATTGTGGTAATTGGATGTAAATTTGTTTGTGGGTTTTTTTGAAAACTAATAAATATCAATTGGCAGAAAAGAGAGAGAAATATACATCCTGGTTACTAAGAAGACAAGAAGGGCAAATTGTGGAGATTCCAAGGACAAAAAAATGAGACAGAAGCAGGAAAGACAAGAGCACCAAAGCAGAAGGGGAAACAGCAGCTCTTTAGAACCTTCTGGATTCCTATTGCCTCATGTGCAAACTACTCCAGTCACAGCTCTGGCTTCTCTCATTGGCTAAAAATATTGAAAGGTGGGGGCAACCAGGTTGGCTCGTATCTCAGAAATCATCCAGTTTTGCTTCATAACTCTCTTTCCAGATGAAATAGAGACAACTGCTCCCCCTGGTACCTCAGTACCCTCTGTAGCTGCCTCTTGTAGGCCCTGGGGCTTCTCATTGTTGCCGATGCAGAAGGAGGGCATCAAATCCCAGGAGTGAGAAGAATACCAGCCTCTTTTTCCTTGTGCCATTGTCTCAACCCCACACAGGTCTGGTAGCAGCTGAGTTCTCTGAGCCTTCCTGCCTTCCTAATAGTTCTGAGTGAACGCTTAGCTTGTGGGGCCTGTATCCTCTTCTCTCTTAATTCCTAGCATTCAATGCCACAATCAACTTAGCACTGTTTATTTTTAAACCAACCTTTTCATCATTGTTATTGGTGATAACCACAGCAGCAGCAGAAGCCTCTGCCTGCCCGCAGCTCTTGGTCGGAAAGCCTTTGCTGTCAGGCATCTTTTCCCGGAGGGGATGAGCCACTCATGGAGGCCGGCTGTGTTTGCACACTGACAGCTTCTTGCTGCAGGGGATCTTGAGCTCTGTGGCACATTTGCCTCAGGTGTGCCGTAACAACAATTCTGCCACTTCAGCTATTTGGGTGACCTGACATGGGAAGAAAGCAATCCAAGTAGAGCAAACAAAAATGGGATCCGACAGCGTGGCTCAACAGGCAATGAGCAGAGAGTGCTGCGAGATGTGTGGCTTTTGCTCTGCCAACTGCCGCAAACAGGCCATGCCACCGTGAGGGAGCAAAACAGCACACCAGTCTGTGCTAGAGTCTCCATCTGCCCACAGGTTAAAACTGAAAAGAGAGATCTGAGCTGCTTCCCAGTCTCTGCCCAGCCTCATACATACACAGCAGTGTGTTGATGTCACCCTAGAGTTAGTTTGACCTGCTATGGGTATATCAAGGGTGGGGATATTGAAATCAGTTGTTAACTGTCTATGTCAATGTTGTTTTTGCTATGTGTTCTGTTTTCATATGTTATGTGTACAGTAGAATTCAGGAAAGGGTAAAGCTACAAAAGTTTGTTTTTGCTAGTAGCTGGTAAGAAGTGCTGCACATGATCAAGGAATGGCTCAATAGATTTCAGACCAAATGGTATTTCCTTCAATTCTCTCTCATTGCAGCAGTTGGGCTCTGGCAGGAGAGCCTTCTGAATGTTTGGACCACTGGGGTCCTACAGCAAACAACATACCCAAGGCTTGTTTTCTTTACCTCTAATTAAAAGTTATGGTCTAGGCAGTCTTGCTGTGTCTTCTTACAGACTCCCATCTATTGCTAAGGTATCCATGTCTTACCAAAAGGTGTTTTCCTCCACGTCAGCATAATTCTTAGTATTTTCTCATTTTTCATCTACAGGATAGCTTCATTGCTTTGAACTTTGTTCCATAAAATTTTCTTCTTCACAGTCACAATGACTTTTGGATCAAGACCCACATCTGTACACCTGTAATCATTGATCCATGGAGATGTGGACCCATAGTAAATAAAGAGGATCATTTCCCTTTTTGCAAATGGGGGAGGGCTGGGATTGAGAGAGAGAGATTGGCTTGCCTACATTTCCAGAGAAGTAACTGTTTTTCTCTTGCAGTAAAAGCAGCCAAGAGTCAAGGTAACACCTTAAAGATTAGCAAATCTGCCTCCCCTACTCGTGGGGAAACCCGGTTTCAGGGATCCGGAGCGATGTGGGGTGAGCGGCGCGGTGCTTTGGATCGACTGCTTCTTCCACGAAGCGAAGCCGCATAGCTGTTGCCGGAGAGCGCTGACTTTTTCCTGTGGACAATTTGATCTTAAAGCAACTACCCG